ATCAAAATTATATATATATATATATATATATATATATACACTATTTAGAATTCTTTGTAGATATATAGTTCATCAGGCTCTGTACTATACTTTATACTAGTAAACAAAGCTAAAAAAGCTGTGTAAAATTAATTAAATGATAGTGGAAGTTAATCAATGCTTGTAGAACTGGCTCCGAGGCAATCAAATCTTCAATAGTGTTAGATATGATGCAAATATATTAGTATGGAAAGAAACAGAAGATTAATTTATTTACGTTGGAAATTAATCAACATCAAAAGAACCCAGCTCATAAGTGAGCGAGTTGGATTCTTCTAACATTGTCCAGAGTGAGCCACAGTGTGCAGTCGATGCGATTCGCGCGTGAAAGTGTGTGGTGTCGTCTGTTCGTTTAACAGCAATGAACTTCAGTCATCGGCGAGCTTTCGGTCGTGGCTGATACGCTTCTTCGTAGACCAGTGACACAACGAAACTCCGAAGATCCGCATGGTTACACATCGTTGCATCGGTCAACCAAAATACGTAAGTATCTATTTTTGTTTGCTCGACCGAACAAAGACCGATATCGATTGTCTTCATGTATATTAAGGGTTAGTTTGGGTTATTAAGGGTTAGTTTTTTTTTTATATATTATGTCAGTTTTTGCAGGGATTTTACAAAAAAGTCGGCGTTTTAGTCAATCCATGTGAGACAAAGTATCCGAGAGATTTATTTTTTTTTAAACATTTTTCAGACACTCGTCAAATCAATTAGTAGTCAAATTGTTCGCTTCATGGGATTATGATTTTTCATCTCAGTGAACGCCTTCACAGTTAGTTGGCACACCGGAAATGATTCTCATAATTAGTTGCTGTTGTGATTAATTAACGCTCCCATTCGCGCTCTGATCTCAAAACAGATATTTACGATTATATATTATAAATAACAGAGGCGATTTTTTACGGCAATCGAATGTTTCATCTATAAAAATTTTGCATCTTGCCGATAAGTCCGAAAGATGCGAAGAGACAGTGGAATCAAACAAGCGTTCGAGTTTATTCGTGTGTAGCGTAAATAGCACAACTTGTTAGATACCGTTAGCATCCTAGCGCACAAGAACATCTCTAGTGAAACCACCATAAGTCACTTTTCGGACATTTCTTTCCACAGTGAGAGCAGTAATAGCGCACACGTACAGTGAGGACATCCACCCATATTTTTTATTATTCCCGTCAGTTGGGAAGCACAAGGTCAATTCGTGACCGTGAAATTGTGGTTGGCGATAAAGTAATTGCAATCCCTTCTCGCGTTTTATGTACACTACGTGGGTTTCACGTGAAATCGAAATCCTGAGTCGAAAAACTGGTTTTTAAAATGAATCAGCTCTTTTTGATTTTCAACCAATTAAATTCATTAGTAAACAAGTTTCAATGCCGCCCGACATGTACTTTTATCTTTTAAAATAATTGTACGAAGTTTTTTTTTTAGAAAAACGATAAAGAGAACGTACATATACATGCACCATACATAATAAAATTGTAATGGTAAGCGTACAAAGAAACGATTGCAAACCTTATACAAGATCCGAAGAATCTGCAGATTATTGCGGCGAAAAGTTAATGAAAGTCAATGTCGACAAAAGCTTTTAACAGAAAGCACACGGTTTTAGAATATACTATTGAATACATGAGTCATATCCAAAAGAGCGTACTTACATATTTTGTGAAAGTGGGATGATTCTTGCCTATTCTGTCTACATTTCTCTGTAGAACTCTTCCTTCATTTCTTTTCTTTCTATCGTATTCTGTTTTTATATTTTTGATTAATGCAAACATCTTTTTTTCAATAACTCACAGGTTTATTATCGGTTTTTTTACATGTTTTCTCGAGTAATAATTTAACATTTTAAAAGATAAAAATTTTCCGAAGACGAAAAAGGTTCAATTCTTTCATTGCTTTATTATCTTTGTTCTGCATATTTTTTTTTTCAAATAACTGAGGTAGTATTTATTAGTAGCGATATGCAGCCAACAACATCAATGTTACGACGTAAAACAGATGCAGCATTGCACGCGCATTTAATGTGCAGCCTTCGCAGTTATCGCGAGACGATAAGGACATTGTATAAAATACACTGTTCTACCCATTGAATCAACCAACTTTTTGCACATTATGAATGGCGTTTGTTTAGCACCTACTATACATACAAGACCATATATATGATTTTCTATAAATTAACTGATTAGATTATATTGAGATGTGTGTGTGTGTGTGTGTGTGTGTGTGTTTCCGCTCTCTACAATCAATAATAATTATAATAGTAACAAACTTTACACACAATGTTATGTTCAATACATTCTTTATAATAAAGAACTTCTACTAATTTTCACATTTTTCCAAGATATATCAAAATTTCTCCTAATACCGAAATCAAGTTTCACAGATTATTAAAGAACTAAATTTTAACAAAAATTGCATCTACAATTTTTATTTTTATTTTTTTTGCGATTGTTTTCTGTGTTTAACAAAATGTTAATGAAAGAATAAATACCGCTTATTTGAATAAAAACAGGCGCGTGACGTATACATTTTTGTGGAAAAACTCTTACAGAACTGAATTAATAAAAACGATTAAAGAATTGAATACTTTTAATTTCTATTTTTCAAAGTGCAAAAATATTACACAAAAAAAGAGAGATTTTATTTATTAAAGAAAATTAAAACCAAGTTATTACGTTTCTCAAACATGTATATAAATTTTAAATCCATTAAATTAGAAGAATTTGCAGATCTGCTGAATTTCTTCGGGCAAATGTTATCAAACAATTTTTACTGTCGCCGCGATCAGCATAAATATTAATGATAATGATTGAATTTTTTTAGCACAACAATTGCGTATTTGTTCTCATAGCACGTACATTGAATCTATAATGATGCGTATATAAAACAACGTTATTAATTGTTGATTTTTTGATTGATGAGCTCTGATGGAATTAATAAAACCACACATAGACAAGGGGAATGTAGACGTGAATGTCCCTTTAAGGACATACGGTTATTTTGAATCACCCTGTATATGTGGTCTCTTAAAGTAATTTTAATGCTATTTAAATTATTATTTATTAATTATATCAAAATGAAAAAAAAATTTTTTTAATGTTTTACAAGTTTGTTTCATCAACGTGCTATTTCGCGGAAACATTCTTTCATTATAACATATTTTGCAAGAGGCATAATTTTTCCGTTTCTGACATCACATCGTATTTACATTAGAATAAAAATTATGTATATGTGATAAATAATAATACATGATAAATTCAAGATATCCATGATAGGATTAAGAAATCACATGCATGTGTTCACAAGTGAATTAATATATATTCTTTAGAAGGAAGTTCAGAAAGGCCAAATTTTTTTTAACCCATTTTATTTTTTATAAATAATTAATTATATATCATTAGCGTGTTATTGCAGAAAGATTTGAAAAAATAATCGGAAGATACTTTTATACTGATCGCTAGCAATATAAAAGTTTATAACGTCAATGGATTTTGTAAGTTGCCTCGCATTCGACAAAATTTATTTTTGATTGCGATTTACATTTAGCAATCTCACGTCTACATTCCCCTTGTCTATGTGTGGTTTTATTAATTCCATCAGAGCTCATCAATCAAAAAATCAACAATTAATAACGTTGTTTTATATACGCATCATTATAGATTCAATGTACGTGCTATGAGAACAAATACGCAATTGTTGTGCTCAAAAAATTCAATCATTATCATTAATATTTATTAATATTTATTAAATTTATATACATGTTTGAGAAACGTAATAACTTGGTTTTAATTTTCTTTAATAAATAAAATCTCTCTTTTTTTGTGTAATATTTTTGCACTTTGAAAAATAGAAATTAAAAGTATTCAATTCTTTAATCGTTTTTATTAATTCAGTTCTGTAAGAGTTTTTCCGCAAAAATTATTATTCCTGAGCGTATTCTGAGACAACTTTTCTTTTGGCAAAAGTTTGTGCGGAGCTTAATTTTCAAGTTATAAAAGAAAATAGCGTATCGTGAGTCGAGTACAAGAAACAAGCAGGGCGCCATAACTCATCGTTACACGCGGATGTTTACGTAAGGCGCCTGCTACAATCAGCTAACACTCACAATACACAAATACGTATATGCATCTCTCTTTTTCTCTCTCTCTTGCTCCCGCGATGAGACAGATCCATATCGAGTAAAAGTTTTTCCACTTCCTTATTGTTCACGTTTCACGTTTCAAAACACAACACATTCACATACTCTGTTCATTCACTTCATCGATGAAACGAGGAATTTATATTTATTTAATGATCACTATTAATCACTCGGCGCGTGAAAATTACTTGAAAAAAGAAACACGTGTTTTGAATCACTCTGTATAGAGTATCATATGAGGTTTCATATGATATGGATATAAAAATAAACATGTAATTTGTAAATTCTTTCTTTCTTTCTTTCTTTCTTTCTTTCTTTCTTCTTTCTTTCTTTCTTTCTCTCTTTCTCTTTTTCTCTCTCTTGCTCTCTTTCTCTCTCTCTCTCTCTCTCTCGCTCTCGCTCACCCGCCTGCTATGTATCAGAGTGCACATTGTTACATTTTACTCCCCGCATTCTCTTAAACCGGAATCGGCGCAATTTTGTCTTTAATAAGTTTATTGCACCTTCATCGTTTTTTGATAATATAAACATTTTGATATAAAGATTTTCGTTTTTAAACGATCTTAGAAATCTGCTATTAACGCGTAATACGGTTTGTCTGGGACACTCTGTATTAGTGATAAAACGCTTCTAGAAAGAAAACGTGACTTGGTTATTTTTGACTGATGGCATCGTGCCATCATAGTACGTCCTGTTGACACAACGCACTTGTTGCCTTGAGATATAACAATTCCGTGAGAATTGTCGAATCATGTAGATTGAGTGCATTCTGTGTGTAGGAAACTACATAAGTTTGGCACGGTATTTGCGGAAATTAAAAATTATACGAATATATATTCCAGCGTGACATTCGATAATATAAATCAATTTATGAGCAGTTTTGTAAGCAGAATTCGCTGGATGCTAATCTTTCTCCAAAGATAGGTGAATATAAAAAACGACCACTGCATGCAATATTTTGTATTGATTATTTCGACATTCATCGCTTCCATATAAATCTACACTCCAGCAGGAAGTGCCGCGGAAGTATTTTTCATCTAAGAGGGCACAATTTGTAAAGGGGATACATAATACATTCATAATATGTATATGTATATGTATATAACTCCATTCAAACACCATATAATAGGCCATTCAGTGGGTGGTATAAATGTGCGAAAAATATGCACAGATTTTTTGCTCTAATTAAGCGTAACTTATGCGCTTAATTTTCTTCGTTATATAATGTACTTCAATTGAACGTAAATAGTCAAAAAAAAAAGGAAAAAGAAAAATAACTCATTTTTCCACCTTTGATGTAAATATTTGATACTCAATATTTTCGATCATGAAATATCTGAAGAAA